TGTATACTGTATTTCCTCAATTCGTATTTGCCAATAATTATTGATATCTTTGATGGTTAGTTTCAGTTTAATGTGGTGCTTTTATAAGGATAAATTTGGTAAAATAACAATAACTTTTCTGAAATAATTACAAGAATTATATTAATAACATTATTCTGAAAACTTAAAAAAGTTGTTAACTTTTGATTTGTTTTTATAAAGATGAAATAACAGTTTATTTGTCAAGTTAACTCAAAAATCATTGAAAAACTTTCACTTTTTAATTCTATTTGTTAGTTTGTGGTGCGTTTATAAGAAGATATACAGTTTATTATATAAGAAAAGGTCAGATGCATTAGATCCTTATTTCCTGTTAACTTAGAACTTACTCTAAAAAGCTGCCAAAAAAAACATTACCAACTTAAAACAACTTTTATATATATAACATTTAAGTCCTATAAGCAATGAGATTCAATTGAGCCGCGCCATGACAAAATTAACATAATGCGTTTGCGACCAGCATTGATCCAGACCAGAATGCGCATCCGCGCAGTCTGATCAGAATCCATGCTGTTCGCTTGCAAACACTATAACAAATAGAGAAACTCAGATAGCGAACAGCATAAATCCTGATCAGACTGCACGAATGCACTGGCTGGTCTGGAACCAGTCTGATCAGGAACCATGCTGGTCGCAAACGCATTATGTTGGTTTTGTCATGGGGCGTCTCAATATTAAAGTATTTATTCTAAATGAAATGTTTTCAATTTTCAAAATTCAAGACAACTATTCTTGACTCTATAAATAACAGCTCTTATAACATGAACAAACACTGGGCTATTCTACAAGCAAAGAGTCAAACCAGTCTGCGATCATAAAATGTCAGCTACTCCACGACCAATCTGTGGTCTGCTGGCAGCTTACCATGCTATCTGAACAGGACTTAGTGCAGTAACAGGTTAACTCCTATTAAAAATGAAGTTAACCCCTCACTGCACTAAGATTATGATATACTGTTGGTTTTATGATTTTATGAAGTTCAAAAATAAAATAATAACAAAACTCTATTGATTCTCAACTTATACCATTTAAAAAAGAAAAATGTTTTGTTTTATTATTGGAAAATTCTCGAAATGATAAACAAAACAATCTAATTTTAAGCTTTCCATTGACCATGCCTTCACCATACTAAAAGTAACACATTAATTTTACTTTACCATACCATACAATGTTAAGTTTGTTAATAAAAGTGGGGTTTCCCTGACCATTCAAACTTGTTATCTGAATTTCTACCATATCTAACAAAGAAAGAACAATTAATTATCACTTAACCTGCTGGAAATGAAAAGTGATCAGACCTTTGCCATCAGTATAGAGCCAGGCCAGCCTGCACATCCCTGTAGTCTGACCAGGCTCTATACTGTTGGTATAGCAACTTTATATTTTCATCTAAATACCTTAAAAAAAATTGAGAGCTTGACAAGTACATTCAAGAACATCCAGCATGTTAAGGATTTTAAGTGAGACTGTATGTAATAAAATTTGGAAAAAAAAAATACAATAAAATAATAAAGGATAACAAAGACTGAATTTGGTCATTTAATTCATCAAATACCATCCACTGATGTTTCACTGTTATGTCTATTTAAATGTTTGTTTTATACCATGTCACTACAAAAATAACATCTTTATCAAAAATGTTACTCATAACCAGTAGTTACATCCTCATGGTATGCCTTTAACCTAAAAATGTCCCCAAATGTCCGAGTGTCTCCACATTACCACAAAAAAAAACCCATCTTATATTCTATTTGTAATAACAATCTCTTGGAAATTGCTCTTTACATCAAAGATGGCTCATCAAAAATATACAATTTAATGGTACATGCTTTCTCATAAACAACTAATTGTTGTCACCATTTATAACAAATTACTGGATTGTTTTCATACCAATTTCAACTGATGGACATTTAGTAAATATTCATTGTAATGGTGTGCTTGTTTTCCACCCCCCCCAAAAATCCCATCACGGTCATCAATTATAATTCACAATTATGATTAACAATCAATTATAATTCACAATAATTATTATGATTAACAATATAAAAATCTGCTCTTAACCAGAAATAACCCTCATTATACCCAGTAATGATAATCATATGATCTTTTTGTATTAAAATAGCTCTCATGGCCCAAAATAACATTGAAACACAATTCTTTACCATAAATTAAACCCTCTTAACCATAATGACAATCTAATAATCATGTTCTGAGTAAAAAAAATAGTTCTCATAACCATAAATAGTCCTCAGAAATAACCAAAATTAACATCTAATGGTCAGCTTTTTTATCATTTACTTATAACTGGTAAAATAACAATCTAATAATAGTCATATTATCAAAAATAAAGTCCTCATAACCAGCGATAATGGTATAAGTGTATTTAAATAAAAAAATATAATTCTGGTCTTAAGCAAAAAATACCCAATCATCATTCCCTTAAATAAACCCAATATTACACCCATAAAATAATTAAAACAACAATTAAATATTCTACATACAGTCTCATTTAAATATGTTTCTATGGAAACCAGTATTAATATTGTGGTGCTACTTTTTGCAAGGCTGTGTACAGATGTGAGGTTAAAATTAACAGATGACAACTTATTCCATTCAACAGCTGGTATTTTACTGTAATTTCAGAATTTAATTTCTTTTCTTTTAAGTTATTTTAATAAAAAAATAAGTTTTGAATTTTAAACTTGGGATATAATTGCAATTTATAATACTAAGAAGAACATCAGTGTCCTCTTTTTTTCTCTGTTACAAATAACTAAAATTTAATGCAACATTTATTTATATACATATTTAGTAACATAAAAATTATGTGCTTTTTAATGACAACACTTAATTTACTTTAAACGACAACACCTAATTTATATAAAAATTTAAGTATAAAATAAAACAATGTACATTTAAAAAAAGTACTATTTTAATCTAAAACATAGACATGCATTCACTGTGTATAATATACAAATGTATATATTATTTCCATACATCAATTATTATTTGACCTCATTCAAACTTTTATAGCATGCATTGTTTAGTACCCGTGTATGTTTATTAGTTTATTCATAAATTTTCATTCATTCATTCATTTTTACATTCATTCATTTGTATGTTCATTTGTTTGTTCATTCATTCTTCATTTTACATAAAATAATTAATCATTTTATCTATTCTTTCATTCATTTTTTAAAATTCATTCTTTTACCCAATTTTATTCAATTTCATTCATTCATTCATTCAATAATTCATTCATTCATTTATTCATTCATTCATTCAATTATTCATTCATTCACATAAATTTATCAGTCATTCAGTTACTATTAGTCATGTATTCACTTCACATTCTATTATCAACATATACTAATTTTTACCATTCGCCCATTTCAATGAACATTTCTTTCTTCTGGATAATCCCTTATTCACGACAATTATCATTATTCATTTATTATAAAAACATAACCAACATGACACATATTATTATTCATTTGTAAACACTTGACCAAGAATCCCTTATTCATGACAATTATCATTATTCATTCATTATAAACACATAACCAACAATTCCTTTTTTCATGACAATTATCATTATTCATTCATTATAAACACATAACCAACAATCCCTTATTCATGACAATTATCATTATTCATTTATTCTAACACGAAACCAACAACTACTTATTCATGACAATTATTATTATTCATTTGTAAACACTTAACCAACAATCCTTTATTCATGACAATTATCATTATTCATTCATTATAAACATTTAACCAACAATCCTTTATTCATGACAATTATTATTATCCATTTATTATAAACACATAACCAACAATTCCTTTTTTCATGAAAATTATCATTATTCATTTATAAACACTTGATCAACATATCACTAATTCATGACCATTATTATCATTCATTATAAACACTTGACCAGCAATCCCTTATTCATGACAATTATCATTATTCATACATCTACCCTTTCGTTATCATTTCTTTAACCATGATAAAATATATTCATTACACTTTACCAAAAACCACTCATTCAACAAAATTAATATTATATTTTATTTCATTTCAAAAATAAACACTTATTCTTTATCATCACCCACTCTTATTCACATTTTCTTATTCACATTTTCTTATTCACATTTTCTTATTCACATTTTCTTAAACACATTCTATGACACATTTTTTATTTTACCTTCCCCAACAATACAATTGTATTAACTTATTAGACCACTTCCTATTATGTATATTTATCTAAAGCTACATATAAATATGATAATATATTTATATTTTTAATACTTTTGCAAACACTTTCAATACCAATTTATTTTTAATTTAAGTATGTCATACCAATTATTTTTTCCCAGTTTTTTTTCCTTGTTTTTTTTCCCCCATCAAGTCTTTTTATGCTGTACACTAAATGACAAATAAAATGTAATTTCTTGAGTTTTTGATGTATTGATAATCAATTTCTCCACCAATTAAATCTCAATTAATGTAAAATATACATGTATAAGGCATCAAGAATGCATGTAAATTTTATTATTTATTTATTATTTTCTTTCTATATTTTATTTGTTCAGGATACTTTATTACTAAATTTTAACATTTTTTACAAACTTGTTCCCTGTACATGAATTCTTCACTTCATTCAAACAACAATTCTACGACTACAATGTACCTTTAAATTCATAATTCATATTAGCGGACATTCCAGTTAACTGTAGGAATCAAATTTTATTATTTACATTAATTACTTTTATTCATTTTCAACCATTAAACAATTAAATTCAAGGGGAGAAAAAAAAAACTGCTATGAAGAAAGTAAATTCCAAGTTACAGTAAAATCCGAAACGAAAAAAAAAATGAAAAAAAAAGAAGTGTAGTATTAAGACAATTGGTTATTTTGTAAAAAATTTTTTTTGTTTGTTTGCACTATTACAACCTCTCTTCTAAACGTGCGAGGTCCATGGATGATATGTTGCGACGTATCAGTGACTTTATGTTGTCCGATCCGACAAATCTGGAAGAAATATGCGCCATTGTGGATTTAAAGCACACACACAAAAAATAAAAACACCTCATGCTCTGTACATGTATATCATTATATTACATTATAACCAATCTGTGCCGAGATAAAAGAAAAAAAAAAGAAAAAAAAAATGGTCCCGAAATAAAATAAAAAAAATTTGCTGACAAGAAAAGTTTATAAATGTGTTTCAATTTTTTCCCCCATTAGTATATTAAGCGTTAAAAAAAATTTCACCATATGGAAATGACGGCTCAGAGTCACTCAATGAATAAAATTACGCCTGGTAAATGATAGAGCTACCTCTTTCAGAGGTATACGGTAAATCGCTCTATTGCTACTCCTATCATTTACCAGGGGTGTAAATATTTAAGACCACCACACCAGGACATTATCATTTACCAGTGGTGTAAATGTTTAAGACCACCACACCAGGAAAATGTCAATGTCATAGTAATTCAGGTCAAGTTTAAAGCCATTCTGACAGATATTTTAATAGGAGAAGATGTCATTAATAAAGTTAATAGTTTACAATAGAATTCTGGGGAAAATAAAAAGATTAAAAATCAAGTCATCTGCCTACCCTGAACCATCATTTATGGTGAGCTCAAAAAATTATAACACACTAAGACAGTATAATTAAAATCCGTGTTAAAAGTGATTTTATGAAAAAAAATTGATTACGTGAAAAATAGGACTTAAAGTGTATAGTAAAATGATTAAGCTGAGATGACATGAAAAAAAGTTATCAACAAAACTGTGTTTAAAAAGCATACTGTAAAATGTTTATAAATATATATTTTGCAAAACTTAACTCAATTGAAAATTGTAGAAAAAAAAATCTCATAAAAAAAAAAATCCATTTTTTGGGGGCACAAATATTAAAGGCACAAATATTTATAGCAGGGTGTGAAACATACAATACTATATTTTTTTTATAATCATAATATAAGATATAGAAAATCACATTTTGTTTAGATCATAATTAGTATTGCTTTTCCTACTGTCAGTAAAAAATTCTAACTCTTACAATAATAAAAAAAAATTTAATAAAACTACAATTTAAATTAAAATTTCTTCATTTTCTCTAAGTCTATAATTGCTTAAAATGAAACAGCCTTAAAAAACTACATTTTTTTACTCTGAAAACAATTAAACAATCAAATGCAAAAGTATTTGCTAAGAGCAAGAAATTCCTACTCTACTAAGTCAAAATCTATAAGGGGAAGTAACTGTCTTTAAAAAGCTGACACTGCTATCAGGGGAAGTAACTGTGCTTTATTCTTGAATAAACTACTCAGCATGTTTTCTTCTTGAATAAAACATGGGAGGTGAACATGAAGAGATAAAACATACAAAGCAGGGTTGCATTACAGGATTAAACAAATAAATTGGCTTCAGATATTTGACCCATAATATTGAATTTGCAGTTGACTACTAAATTTTTTTACTATTTACCCAAAATTAAAATAACTTTAAACTATGATGGATAAATTAAATATAACCAATTAATAAAATTTCTGACATATATATATATATATTTTTTTTAAAAAAAGTCCCTTTTACATTAGGTAATCATTTTCTATGAGTGGCCATTGCCAAATGCTTAAATATTTGCTGTCTAATTTAAAACATATGGATGTAATATCAAAAACTTGGTGGAAACTTGTATCAATGCAGTTTCAATGTTTTGACATCAAGGGTTATGACCCTTGTAATCAAAGAGTTACAATCCCTGTACATCAAAGAGTTACAACTCTTGTACAACACCAAGAGTTACAACCCTTGATCATCAAAGAGCTAAAACTCTTGTACATAAAGCATTGCAACACTTGTACACCAAAATCTGATATTATACCAGATAAAATATCCATACTTAAACAATTTTGTCCATTATTCTTAACAAAAAGAAAAGTTTCATGACTTTGGGAACCAGCTATAATAACCCATCACACACATTGGTATGAATCAGAGAATCAACTAATAAGGGAACCAACTGAAATTGCAAATTACTTGAGACATTACTTTGATTGTTAAAGGGAACCAACTTAAATAACCAATCAAAAACACTGACATAACTTGAGCGACAAACTGAAACAACCAATCACAGACATTGACATAAAAAAGGGGGAAGCAACATTCATATCTAGTTTTAATCTTTATTATATAAATATAATGTATAACAAAAAAAAAATTATGCATAGACTTAAATACAGATCTAGCATTCTACTTTTTATGCTGGACAAAACAAGGGAAATATTTAAGGGAATAAAAATCTATTAAATGTAATAAAATCTATAAAATGTGATTGAATCTATTCAATGTATTTGAAAGAAAAAAAAAACAACTAGAACTATAAACCATACTAACATTCAGCTTAAGTGTGTGATACTTTGAAACTAAATGTGCTACTAGCAACATTCTGACAAAAGCTGGGGCATATGCTAAGATTGCGGAATAATGTCCTAGTTCTATAGGGTCAAATGAGCTCTAAAATGCATCTACATTCCTTAATATGAAATGTTTTCAAAGTAGAGCTATTGCAATTATCATGCTAAATAATTTTTTCAGCATCACAGAGTATCAAAATGCCATTTTCTAGTAACAACTCTGTACCAAAACATCATGTTTTATTAGCCCATTCTTATAATTTCTTTTTCAAATTAAACATGTTTGCCTTTTCGAAACAGGAACAATAATTTATACCATAATGCTTTCATTTTTAATGTAACTGCTTATTTCTCTATAATAACATTCAGTCACAAACATCTAAAATGAAATCTTGGCCTGCCTTATACCCCGAGTAAAAACAAACAAAAATTCTTACTTCAATGTTAAATTTAGGCCCCCCGCCTTACAAGAAGACTGTGTAATAGATGAGTAAATTCAAACATATTTATTTTTTCAGTATTTGTCAACAAGAAATCATGTTGTTTTTTTCTAGTGAACAACAACTGTTAAAATAAACATTCACAAAGAATTCAAAGGCCCTGGTTGGATTCAAACCCTTGCAAATGTTTTAAATAATTTACTTTTGTGCGAGCGTAACACACCCATTATTGAATCATCATAAGACACAACAAAAACAAGACACATTTTTACCCTTGTACCATTTTTTGTTGAATTAAAAAAGTATTAAAAATAAGAAAACAAAAAAAACACGAAAAAAACACAACAAAAATAACCTAAGGCAGTACCCACAACAAAATAAATCAATTGACTGGCAAAAAAAAGAGATTAAGTCATTAAATGTGTATTATAAAGAAAAATATAGTGACGAGAAAATAGAAAAACGTACTTGTGCTTTGTAAGAAGTGTCCGCATCACATGACCTTTGACATCAGCTGAGATTTGATCCCTAATCACCATGTTGTCAACAACACGGTGAGCTATAGTGATCAAATCTGGGGCCTCGAGATCTAATATTAATGATCCTGAAATACAGATGTTTCATAAAAACTAAAACAAGCATACAAACAAAATGATCTTAAAACATTGTCAGAAAAAATCTTGAAACAAAGACTGAGTTTCTAAACTCAAAAAGGGCCAAAATAAAAACCCTTCTATCCAGTTACAGTCTGCAAGTATTTCAGCCTTACTAGAGGTGGAAAACCCGAGGTGTCCCTCCATGCATTTTTAGGTACAAGAGCCAAGAGTAGAAGTACTGATCAACACTCAGTTCTTGACAGTTAATCAAGAGCCTGGATAATAAATTTTTTTCTAAGTTCAAAAAGGGCCATATTCTGTTATTTTGTTTTGTTTGTTTGTTTCATTTTACGCCTTTTTCCAACAGTATTTCAGTCATATAGGCGGGTAGTTTCCTAACCATCGTTCCTGGAGAGTTACACCAGTACTAGACTACCTTCCTCCGCGCTAAACTACCAAAGCATCTCCCGGGGATCGAACCCACGCCAGAGAGGTAACTGGATAAGAAGTCATCGACTCTAACTCCTCGACCACGGAGGCGGCTCCATATTCTGTTAAAATCCATGTTAGAGTTATGGGCCTTGAGCAGTTGTCTCCTATAATGCTCTCAAATATGTGTGTAAGTTTAAACAAATTCCCTTCAGTAGCTTTGGAGATATTAGCTTGCACATACAAACTTAACAAAGTGGGAAGCCGACACATGATTGAGTACAACAGCTCTCCCTATTATTCAAATAGCTGAGAAAAAATTAATTTGAAATTAGTGTACCTTGTTCCAAGCCTTTTCTGAGCTCAAGTAGACTGTGAAATGAAAGCGAGGCTACATGAGGCTTGCCCCATCTCTCCGCTCCTTCTTCAACGTCTTCCTCAAACTTGATCCAACGAGCTTTCTCCCTCCATTCTACCTCATGATCGTCAACTACGTTCAACTCATCCAATTCAACAAACACCTGTCATATCAAAATAATTTCATTAGATTTAGGAATGTTCAAAACATTTTCTGGATCCATTTCCTACATCATTTTTTTTACTCGTAGCCGTTAATTGTAATCATTTTAGTTTATACCAATTTATTTTAGTTCGATTGTGTTGGAAGCTATAAGCTTATTGAACACTTTTGAATCCTTTCCTGGAACCAACCAGTATTAAGCAATGGCTTGCCCCTGGCAGGGATTGAACACAGACTGCCAACAATCCTTATATTACTAGTCCAATGCGTTAACCACTTGCCAACGCCAATCATTTTACATCAGCTTCAGTGAAATATCATATTTATCATGCATCATTTGCATGTATCAATTGAAACAATTGAAGGGCAAGTGGTTTCAGGTCAACTCTTCATCACCTACATCTCTGTATAAGAAAATAATAATATAGCAGCATGGCTCAAGTGGTAAACGCACTTCACTAGTAATCTAAGGATTGCTATCTGCGTGTGTTCAAACCCCGTCAAGGAGAAGCCACTTATTGCTCTGTACTAGTTATGTTCCAGGAATGGATTCAAGAGTGTGTCTATGAGCTATCAGCTTCCTACACAATCAAAATAAATAAATTGAGTATATACCATGAACAAAATATAGAACCATGAATAAAGAACATAATATAGAACCATGCATAAAGAACAAATTATAGAACCATGAATAAAGAACATAATATAGAACCATGAAATACTACCCACCTCATGAGGAGTGTGATCGTACTTCTTGACCTCCGGCTTGAAATATTTCCGTTTTGACTTGTCTGACTTGCCCACATATATCACAGAAGAAAGGGTCTTGTGCTTCTTCTTACGTCCGATCTTATGTTTGTGGTAACCCTGGAGATTTTCCATTCTGTGACCTTGAATACAATAAATGCAAGTTTATTTTTGGAGGTTTTCCACTCTGTGACCTTGAACACAATAAATCCAAATTTAATTTTCATTGACACATGCTTTGAAATTTATGTGAATTCTAAAAGTCTTGAATTTGCTTAATTCATTTATAATTATGCAAAGATAACTGTATCTCTCCCTATATCTACATAAAAATTAGTATGCATCACTTTTTGTTTGTCAATTCAGTATTTCAGCTGATTTTAACAAATCTTTAATCTTAACTCGGTGGTCAGCACACAGTGGTTTTCCTTGACAACTGACCAGTGACAGATTGCTAATCCCATATAATTTCTACATTAGCTGCGAGAGACAAATGACCATTAGACCAAATGTCCCAGATCAATTAACATGGGGGAATTTCGCCTTGCCCGAAAGATCAAACCTGCAACCACTGAATTACAAACGGGATGCTTTTACTATTGAGCTTAGCAGACAGACTAAAACTTCAAAATTTATTTTTTGACAGAAAAAAAATTGAGGTTACTACAAGAACCTGTAAAAATTAAATGAACTTCAACAAAATGGTACAACTGGTTTTACAAAGAAAAACTATTATTTTTATGTTTTGTATTCAGGGTTTTCATTATTACAGATTGGCAATTCATATCATTGGTTGAAATGCTGTGAAAATCAGTTGTATTTTCAGACAAAACATTAAAATATCTCCCTTGACCCTTGGACAAATCGGTTGTTTTTGTTGGCACATATGTTGCCTCAGATCAAAATGAAAACCCTGAGTATTGGACTTACTAGCCATCTCATCGAGATCTGCAGATTGAAGCGTGATGGCTTCCTCCGTTTCCGTGGGAACACGTTTGAGAGCGTCTGCAATATGTACCTCACTTCCTCTTTGTCGTCGTCGTAATAAATCCTCGGTGCCGTAATTCTCACGATGATGGTGGTGATGCTTCTTATGCTTGTGTCTGAATATATAAAAATATGTCACATCAAAATATTTATCATCGATACAAATAACAATATTTGCATAATATATCACATCAAATATTTGTTGAATCATCAATACAAATAAGAATGCTTTACATTTACATAAATAGTTGTACCTTACATAAAATTTTAGAACATTAGCTCCCTTGACAGTTGCAGCTATATTTTGAAGTCACTTTGTTTATGTTATATGTCTATTGTTTTCCTCATTTTTTTGTTTGTTGGGTTTTATGTCACACCAATACAGTACAGGTCATATAGCAACTTTTTCAGCTTTACTGGTGCAGGTATACATCCGTGCATTATTTAAGGCAAAAACTGGCACCTGAGTAGAAGTTCTGTAAGCTAGTTGTATAGCATCCTCACACGAAAGAAGCCAAAGTCCCTGGTAGTGTTCAAACCCTCATTGATGACAGGCAAGTGGTTTGAAGTCAACGATCTTAACCACTTGGCCACAGAAACACCCCACATAATATGTAAGTTAACAGATGATTTAAGATCAAATTCTTTTCATTTGTGTAGTAAAATATCAACACAGCACCAGTATCTACATTATATGAAGGTTTCTATCTACAAGCATATGACAAATTGGATATGACGTTTAAAAAGACAACCAAGGAAGGCAACCATGCTTTAAAGAGTAAACATTTTTACCTAGATTTTTCCGAGTGTGATCTTTTATGAATTTTGGTTTCCTCAGCCAGCTGCCAGACATTTTCATTATCACTTCTCTCTTGCGTGTCCTCGCTGTTAACAGATCCCCTCTCCGTGTCATCACTGTCGCTACTGTCATCATCGTCATCATCATCGTCGTCATCACTGTCTCGGAACTTTCCCTTCCTGTGTAAATCAGCCTCTTCAGATTCAGTGTCTCCTGTAAATGTTTTATCATCATCAACACCATCATCATCATCATCAATATCATTATTATCATCATCCATATAAACATCATAATCATCATCATAATCATCATCATCAATATAATCAATATAATCATTATCATAATCATCAATATAATCATCATCATCATCATCAATAGCATCATCATCATTAATATAATCATCATGATTAAAATTAGCATCAATATCAATATAATAATCATCATAAATTTAATTGTTATCAACATAATCATCATCAACAACATCAATATCATTATCATCAACAACATCAATATCATCATCATCACAACCATCATCGATATCATCATCATCATCAATATCATCATTATCAAATACTATCATCACCATTATCATCAAAATCATAATCATCATTGTCATAATCATTCTCAGCATGATCATGTTGTTTTTCACCATCATCATCATAATCATTTCCAACATCATCTATCAGTGGTCAGTATTCACCTAACATTAGCTTACGTTTTCCAACAGCAGGTATTGAAATTGTAAACAATAATTGGCAGTCAAATCAAAATTTCCCTAAAAATTTAAATGAAGAAATTACCTAACAAAAACTTTACTCTTGATGGGTCCTCAGTGCCTCTATCAAGCACATGGATAGGTGTATCTCTGGTAGCCTCTCTTATAGATGTAGAAACCATCGGTTTGTCATCATCATTCAGGACCACAACTACGGGAGCACTTGCAGGAAGATTCTGTATACCCTGGGCGGTTGTGACCGGTATAGGTCTGGACGCGAAACTCAAATCGCTCTCTGACGTAGCCGCAGACACTGGGACTTTATCCTGGAGATCTGAGCCTGAAATAATAGGAAAGTAACGTAAAAATTACCTAGAACTAAGTCTTCTGTAAAAAGGTATGTAAAATAAGAAATATTATGAATGAATTGCGCTGTGTACAGTTTTCACGTGGCAGGACACGGGACAAAAATTTAAATGGTGTTAATTAGTGGTCTGAACCCACTGTACAATATGTTGCACAATTTATACATTACCGAAAATAAGACATCATAAACTTGCACTTGGCACCAATAGTTCAATACCACTGGCTAATCTTTAACTGAGAGGGAAGGAGAACTCAGACATCTTCCTGAGACACTTTAGAGAGAGATTGTTACAAACAGAATGTAGAGATCAAAAAGAAGAAAACAAGAATTTGTAAGAGTTACCAACGTCCTCCGCCTCGGAGAAAATTTATATGAAGCATAAATTTGTGCTATTTCAAAAGATTGAGTTATGGCTCTCAGGACTTTCAGTCCAAAATTATGATCGATGCTAGATCTTCAAATAAAATAATAAATTTTTTAAAGAAATAAAATGAAACACGGAATTTAAAATCTTTCATGTTAAGCTTTGACCTCTAAGTGTGACCTTGGAGGTAGGGACCCATTATAGTTTGCGCCTGACATATCATCTTATTATTGTGATTATTTGTGCAAAGTATTTTTAAAATCCCTTTAACTATGCAAAAAGTATGGACTGGACACAAAATATACTCTATAACAGACTATGTAAATCTTTGACCTCTAAGTGTGACCTTGGAGGTAGGGACCCATGTTTTGCACCTGACATATCGTCTTATTATTGTGATTATTTGTGCAAAGTATTTTTAAAATCCCTTGATCTATGAAAAAAGTATGGACTGGACACAAAATATACCTTATAAAAGACTATGTAAATCTTTGACCTCTAAGTGTGACCTTGATCTTGGAGGTAGGGACACAGGTGTTACGCATGACATATCATCTTATCATTGTGACTATTTGTGCCAAGCATATTCAAAATCCCTTGATCTTTAAAGAAGTTTTATACGGGACACAAAATATACTCTATAACAGACTATGTTGATCTTTGACCTCCAAGTGTGACCTTGACCTTGGAGGTAGGTGACCGGCTGTTGCGCATGACACATTGTCTCATTATTGTGAACAATTGTGGCAAGTATTTACAAAATCCCTTCAAAGCTAAGAAAGTTATGGACCGGACATGAAATATACCCTCAAATAGACAATGTTGACCTTGAATGCGCAAGTGCGACCTTGACCCTGGAGGTACGGGTCTGGTTTTGCACATGACACATCGTCTTATTATAACAAACACTTGTGCTAAGTTATTTCAGATTCCTTTGTTAATGACAAAGTTATGAACCGGACACGAAAGTGTGACGGACGGAAATACAGACAGACGGACGGAGCCTATTTCTATGTCCCCCTTTTTTCTTCAAAAAGGCGAGGGACAAAAAGAGAGAGAGCTTTTAATTTAAAGACTCACCTTGCTTGCCCTGCGGCAATAGGTTCTACCTATGTGACAAGTGCAGACCAAGATCAGCCATAAATTCTGCGTGGTCTGATCATGGTCTGTACTGTTTGCTATTCAGAAAGTAGTTATTTTTGAATTTTTTTTTGCGTCTAAAAAATATTGAATGGTTTAGTCCAAATTGTAGAATGAAAAAGTCCATTTCAGATAATTAACACTGGGTAAGGTTTAAGTTAAATCGTCACCGAAACATCATCACCGTCATATGATTGTGGGCATAAATTGCATTCAGCAAATTTTAATATTTCCAATATCTCAAAACCATCCTGTCTCAATATATCCTGTTATTTCACCATTGTTTCACACATTATCTAAAAAAACACCACCTTCTGTCTCGTAGAATTATAAACTGACACGATTTTTAAACAAAAATTCAAGAAATTTCTGATCAATAGCATTGATGGTTAGTTACCATGGCAACTTAGAGAAAGATTTAAAACAAAAAATAGTTTAGTACATGAAGCTAACGACCTTGAAAATATAATTATGTCAAACTTGATTACACAATTAAGCAACTGTTATAAAAAGTGAATAGATTCTCTACTCAAACATTAGATAGCTGTGAATAGTTAAATTCATTATTGTAGTAAAACAAAGCAAAGAAAATTGTAGAAAGTCAAATGATTACTGTAGAGAAATTCTCAGATTTTTAGAAATACTAGAAGGAAAAATGTTATGCTGAAATTTAAAATAATTTTCTTATCTAAGATCGAGTGTCAATTTTCACCAGTGTCATTATTCAACAGTCTTTCTTTCTGAGCTCAACAACAAATGCTGTTTGAAAAGAGATGGCCTTGTGGTTAAGGAGTCCGCCTCTCACCGAAGGGATTATGGGGCCGGAGCCAATAATTCAGAGGTGAAAACCATACTTCTTTAGTTTACACCTGTAATTAACTTATTTAACAAAAATAAAAATAAGAAAACAACATTAAAACATAAAAGCATTTGTATAGAAATCTTGTTGTCAGTATTGGTTCTTAAAAATATGCTTACAACCCTTTCAATTCATTTACAAGCTTTTGCAATTGTTTACACCCCCTTTCCATGTGGTTACACTTATGCCAATTTGAATACCCCTTTCAATTTGGTTACACCCCTTTCAACTTGGTAACACCCTTTTCAATATAGTTACACCCCTTTCAACTTTGTAACACCCCTTTCAACTTGGTTACACTCAAGCCAATTTGGTTGCACTCCTTTCACAACAAATAGCATAAAAACACAAAATAAAACAAACTGCCTTGCCAGTTAAACAGTGATAGTTCCCGGAAAACCTTTGAATAATTATATTAGAACCAAGAACCCTGAATAACAAGACCAATCTTAACAAAGAGATTCTGGTGGTCTTTGAAAACAGTAATTTTTTTTCATGTGACATGCTGAGAAATGTACGGCTGAGAAATAACTTGGATCAAAGCATGATATATGTTTATACACTAAGCATCAACAAATAATATTTCTCTTTAATGGGATTTTTAAGACATACTGTGGGTCTTTAAGTTATGCCAGAGAGCATTTCCTTCTTTACTTAGGAAAGGACACTGTGAAGACATCTATCCCTCTGTACATTAAAATTCATATACAACCTCAGGTAAACTTAAATATGACAAAGACTTCCCAAGATTTGTGTTCTATTTGATGTAGGCATTAGACCAATAACTTGTGTGCAAATTTTTATAATTTTTTTTTTCATTTTATGCCAATGTAACTGATTGTAACGAATGTTAGAACAAAGAAAGAATGTAAGGACAAAGAATATTAGGACAAAGAAAGCAAGGATAAAGAAAGTGTTATGACAAAGAAATCAAGGATAAAGAAAGAATGTTAGGACAAAGAAATCAAGGATAAAGAAAGTGTTAGGATAAAGAAATAATGTATATTCAAAGAATGTTCAATCATCATTCTTTTATTATGCAAAATGACCAAAAAAGAAAATAAAAAAAAAAATTGCTGCATCTTTTTTTCTCACTCACATTGGGCAATGAATTACACAAAAAATCAATTTTCAATTTTAATTCTGAGCATATGCTTTCTAATTAACCTTTGCACATTATTTCATTTATAGCACTTTTCAAGATCTACATGTATGTAAGAATTTTAAATGTTAATTTATAGCCTAAGGCTTTTTGATCTCTGTGAAGCTCCTTTAATATTATCTTTAGATTTCTGTGTCATTTATTTTATTTTTAATAACACTCTTTTTTGTAGGTTTTTTCCCCTGTTATTTCACCATATAAACTATAAGCATTTCAAAATCAATATTTCAAAAAAGATAAATATTTCAAAAGTACAAAAAAACCCAAGCACTCATAATATTTCTTGTTTAAAATAAAAGCCAGACATATTCTGCCTGAAGGACCAATAACAGAACATTTCATCTTTGATTTCATTTCTCATATAAGAAACTTAAGTATTAAAGGGACTCTACCCTAAAATCATAAAATGTGTGACTATTACATAGATCAACTGGGGCTCTTTAAACAGGAGGACATAAAAAAATATAAAGAAGTGTACTCAAAAACATATTGAAAATTGTATATTTTTGTGCCATTCTTAGCCTGATTTTCAGTTTTGGGTCATTTTTCAAAATTAAAATAATTATTCTTGAAAAACAGAGTGAGTCGGAATGAGCTGATATTTTTCAATCAAGTTATTGGTCTAGACAAAAATCAAATGAGACATTAATCTTGAAAATTTATTTTCAGTAAAAAAAGACACCAGTTGGGTCCCTTTAAAACATGCCTCTTAAAACAGCAAACTGTTGCCATGAAAACTTTGCAAGAAAATTTTGATTTTCATCTTCAAATTATAATGGTCAGGCATTGCAAAAAAGTGACATGTTTAAATTGCAACATATGTACATCAACAAGAAATGGACATCCTGATAAAAGATTGAGAAAAAAGTCTAAAATTTTTATTGTTTCAATTGTTTATAGAATATGACGATTATTATTGTTTGTTTGTATGTTTGTTTTGGTCTGTTTGTGCAAAAAAAAAAACCAGCCAAGGTCAAATATAGCAAAATGTTTAAATATTACATGTTATATACTTGGTATACTTTAATATATTTGATAAAATATATTTAAGCATAAAATTGAGCAGGGGTCATCTCAAATGCTAGATTTGGCAGTGGTCATCTCAAAATGCTAGATTTGGCAGGGGCCATCTCAAATGCTAGATTTGGCAGGGGTCATCTCAAAATGCAGAAGATTTGGCAGGGGTCACCTCAAAATGCATAAAAATTAAGCAGGGGCCATCTCAAAATGTAAAATATTTGGCAGGGGTCATCTCAAAATGCATTAAAATGAGCAAAATCAATTCAAAAGATTAAAATTAGCTACTACACTAATGAATGAATATGTTATAATATCAAAAAGAAAAGTAATCAACTTGAACTGCAGATAAATGCAAATGAAGAAGCAATGATATTATTTAGTGGCAGGCTATTTACATTACACGTGCATTGAAAAAAAAAACTAACAAAAAAAAGAAATTAAGTACACAGCGGAAAACGCCATACCTTCCACATGGTCTACTGAGTCAGATTCGCCTGTTAGAGAAAATTTATTAACAATGATAAATGTAAAAATAAAGCAGTCACCATACCAATCCATGTTTATTTCTTACTATTCTAGCATTTATGAAAAGCTTAGGGCCGAATTAATTCTCTTTATTTTTGATAAATGCATATTGTGCATTACAAGCACTTTTATTTTTGCTATTTAACAGCATGAACAATAATTTAGTGCAACTTTCAATCAGGCAATATATCTACTGTCAATAAGACTTTAGTTTGGAAATCTGTTTTTTCCAAATACAATATCTCATGAACTTATGAAAAAGACTTTTGTCAGCCTGTGCAAAAGATTTTGTGCATACGACGCTATATTATTATTTCCACTTCTTTTTTATTCAGTTTTACGTCAACCAACACTCATGAGAGAGCATACAAGTATATCTGGCAACTTTTCTAGCTTTACTGGTGGAGGAATACCTCAGGTGCCCCTTCTGTGCATCGTTTTAGGAGTGTATGGGCACCTGAGTAGAACCAATGACATTCCTTAGGCCAGCAGGAAAGATTTTACTTTCACATGAAAGAATCTGGAGTACTAGGCCGGATTTGAACCCTCAGAGGTGAGGGGCAAGTGGTATACAGTTTGCTGACGTGGTTTCAAACATATTCATTATATAAACATTCACATTGATAATGGACTGTTCCAAAATGGAAGATGGACAAGTCAGTTTGAAAAATATATTGCTACTCCTCTTTGACATGGCTTAAGGTCGTATTGACTAGAACAAATATAAATTTACTAGTACATATACATATATATACATACATACTACTATTTGTTAGTAAACTCTTATTTTTATTATCATGTCATACATCAGAACCAAAGTTTATCACTGAACGCCATTTAAGCCCCTCCATGCAGACAGCCCAGCCCGATAAGCTTATGCCACCATTGTTACGCTAAACTCTACGTCTAAAATTGCTCAAAATTACTGCATCCTATTCGGGACATTATATAACAGAACAAGCAACTACAGACAAGATATTGAAAGTGGCCTTATATTGGCTTCTTATTGACTGCTGAACAATTGATAAGCATTGTTCTAAAGTCATACATCGAACATTTGATAAGTAATACATGGAACAATTGATAAAAGAAGTGTTTAAATCATACATGGAACAATTGATAAAAGAAGTGTTTAAATCATACATGGAACAATTGATAAAAGAAGTGTTTTAAGTAATACATCGAACATTTGATAAAAGAAGTGTTTTAAATCATACATGGAACAATTGATAAACGTAGTGTTAAAGTCCTACATCAATACCATTATTATAAAGAATCACACTTATAAACATTCATAACATCATGTAACGACCATTTATTTATATTCTTAGTTTGGTTTTATATCACACCAGCACAGTATAGATCATTTGGTGTCTTTCCAGCTTTATTGGTGGAGGAAGACCTAAGGTGCCCCTCGGCGTGTTATTTCAGGCTTACAGGCATCTGAGTAGAACCACTGACGGACATTCTGTAAGCTAGCTGGATAGTTTTCTCACATGAAAGAATCCAAAGTCCCTGTCGTGATTCGAACCCACAGTGATAAAATACAAAATATATAACTGACAAAAATACCATTTTACAACAATGCGTCTTATTGGATAAAAAGAAAGTGCAGCACTTTCTTCACTTGCTTGTTCTGTTTATAATATGCCCTAAACATGATACATAATGTTAGTGTCCTAAACTAGTTTAATTTACTTTATTCACTTGTCAATATTTCTTAGAACAAAATGTCCTTAAATCAGGAAAGTTTTAAATTTTATAACTGATTCTGCAGACATTCTGCTTTTAATTTCATGGTAAGCGTAAAATATGACCGCCACAAAAAAATTAAATCTTAAATTTAATTGTGAGTGCAAATCACCTAAAACACATTATTTACTTTCATTTACTGTAATTATATATATACTGAGTTCACTTTTTATATCTTAACATTACCGGTATTACATTGAGGGTCCTCCGGGGTTAGAGACCCAGTAAATATATAAATAACTTAATTTTACAATTTATGCAATGTAATTTTATATTTACTGTTTCTTTGGGGAAAGTAAAGTAATTTTTTAAATGTTCCAGTAAAAAAATGAATATCAAGGAACCATTGGCATTACTAACGTCAATCCCTGACCACTGCTGATGTTTTTTCCGCTCCTAAGATTAAAAAAAAAAATCAAAAACAAAATGTTACCTATATAAAACAATCCTGGTTTAAAACTGCCTGCTGAAGACTTGGTTTCTTCACCAATTGTCCACGGAACTTTCAAATTATTCTCAACATCTGGTGTTTTTACTGGTTCGTCTATGTGCAACACCACTGACAGCGGTCGTCCATCTATGATATCATGATCGCTTTCCTCTAGATCGATCAGAAGCTTGGTTGTTTCGTCAACATTTTCCTCGCTGTGAACTGCATGATTGGCTGAATTTTTCTGACTGTCTAACACATCATCGTCCTCATCACCAGAACTTGAATTACCGGACTACAAAAAGAATTTACATTATATATCACAATATTTCTATAGTTGTTGGAACTATGGAAAGAACACATTGCATCATTTCTTAAGATGTTTGAACAATGGAAAGAATACAGTGCATCATTTTGTAGTTTTTGGACTATAAAAAGAACACACTGTATCATTTCTGCAGTTTTTGGACAAAGGAAAGAACACGATGCATCATTTCTTAAGTTGTTTGAACAATGGAAAGAACACAGTGCATCATTTCTGTAGTTTTTGGACTATGGAAAGAACATATTGTATCATTTCTGTAGTTTTTGGACAGAGGAAAGAACACATTGCATCATTTCTTAAGTTGTTTGAACAATGGAAAGAACACAGTGCATCATTTCTGTAGTTTTTGGACTATGGAAAGAACATATTGTATCATTTCTGTAGTTTTTGGACAGAGGAAAGAACACAATGAATCATTTCTATAGATTTTGGACTATGGAAAGAACACATTGCATCCTTTCTTTAGTTTTTAAACTATCAAATGAAAACAATGCATTCCATACAATCAATTTATAAATTTTTTTCTACATAGTATCATATTAGGTTCTTTTTTATGCTAAAGTCTGCAAAAAAAAATTCAAAATATCTTTTTTTACAGAAGAAAACAATAATAACTGTAATAAATTTACAAACAAATTGGATACAAAAATGATTTTCATTTAATTATTCTCCATTATTAAAGACTTTTTTATTTGATAAATTAAGCAAACGTTCAGGTAATTGGTGTAATGTCTGAAGCAAAAAAACATTAATTGATTTGTAATAATGTCGAAGATACGGCAATTTCACATCTAACCCTACATTTCACGTTTCAACGAATGCATCACTGTGAATACACAAACTGTAAGCAAACAGTATATTACATAAACATTAACACATACAATTGTATTACTGTGTCGCCTGCAACAAAACATATAAGTTTATATGGTCTGCAATGACCAAAATATTGTGCGTGCTTCACAAACCACATCAAACATTTGGGATATCAGTGACATAAAAACTTACTTACAGTAAAACAGACTACAGTTAACTCCCCTTAATTAACGATGTTGCTTTTAACAATATACCACTTCTAATGGAGCTGTTGCCATGGTCCAAACATTTGTTTTCAATTTGGTTGCCTCTCGGGTATAACTATAAATTTGACGGTCCCCTGAATACCGTTATAAGCAGAGTTTACTGTATTTACTTGATATATTACTAAATACATCTTAATTGAAACAGGCTATAGATTCTATAAATAGCAACATCATATTCTATAATTAGCAACATTATGATTACACAGCATAGAGAGAAGAGTCACTACACATTACTACATTGTTCACATATTGTTGTTGTTCTTGTTTACACAAGATGCTGCTGTAAAACATGTAATCTGTTACCTTTGGTAAGAATCAAATTCATTTCTGTAATCAAATTTTCACATAACCAAATTTTCATATTAACGCATTTTTTCAAAATTCAATTTTCATGTAGCTGTAGCTGTTGCTATTGCGCTGTTGCACCTGCAATTCAAACTTCATTCAGACAAACATGTATGTGTGCATAATTAATGTATGGAAAATTGCAGCGCATAAAAACTTGTTCGAATTAGAGACATAACGTTTTTAAGACGTTTGCGGCAACATTTTTTATGACATGTCACATTTTGAGACATTTGCCGCGTAACCTTTGTGACATGTCCCATTTGGAAAATAAGTTATCTTTTGAGGCTATAGAGAAGCAACATAGCGTTCCACAGCGACCAATCACATTCTGCAGTAACAAGTCACATGTATCCGCATATAATCGCAATTTTTGGCATCACAATTTTTTGGCATCGCAATATTTGGCAGCGCCATGCGTTTTTTTTATACATTTACAATCAGTCAATCAATCATGCCACAAAACACTAGGGGTATATCACAATTAAGATATAACTTGGGGGAAAAAAATGGCGTACCAACTCAAACGTTAACAAATCATATGTATCTGCAAACGAAACCACCCTCTTCTTCTGCAAAGTTACAAAGGTAGAACACCTACTAAAATCTACAGAAGAAAAACAACAACATCAAAATCATTGTTACTGTTAGTCAAAATTAAATTGACCTTTCCATTTAAAGGTCATGATCTTGATATAAAAGGTCATGACCTTGATGATAAAAGGTCATGACCTATTAAAAGGCATTTACCAACTAAACTATTCTATTATTTCAAAACAAATCAATGGAGTTTTCAAACTGGTCAAGTTTCTAGCCCAGATAGCTAGAAAAACTTTTATGAAATATTTAAGATGACACCAGATTTCGGAATGAAGATGGTAACATAATTTAAGATGGCATCAGAATCAAGAATTCAAGGTGGCACAGGGTAGCTTTAAAATTCAGGGTCAAGACATCAGGTTTAAGATGGCATAATAAGGATTAAAATGGCATCTGGTGTCAGAATCAAGATGGTTCCAGAATTCAGTGTCAAGATGGCACAAGAATTCAGGGTCAAGATGGCACCAGAATTTTGAGTTAAGAAGATACTTGAATTCAGGGTCAAGATGGCTCAAGAATTCAGGTTAAAGATGGCATCAGAATCAAGAATTCAAGGTGGCACCAGAATGAAGGATCAAGATGGTTGTTCAGAAAACACTGGAATTCAGGATCAAGTAAGCTTTAAAATTCAGGGTCAAGATGGCACAAGACATCAGGTTTAAGATGGCATAATAAGGATTAAAATGGCACCTGGTGTCAGAATCAAGATGGCTCCAGAATTCAGGGTCAAGATGGCACAAGAATTCAGGATCAAAATGGCACTAGAATTCAGGATCAACATGTCACCAGAATTTTGAGTTAAGAAGATACTTGAATTCAGGGTCAAGATGGCACCAGAATTCAGAATCAAGATGGCACCAGAATTCAGGGTCAAGATGGCACAAGAATTCAGGATCAAAATGGCTCCATAATTCAGAATCAAGATGTCACCAGAATTCAGGGTCAAGATGGCACAAGAATTCAAGATCAAGATGGCACCAGAATTCAGAATCAAGATGACACCAGAATTCAGGGTCAAGATGGCTCCAGTATTCAGGATTAAAATGGCACCAGATGTCAGGTCAAGATGGCAACAGAATTTTGAGTTAAGAAGATACTCAAATTCAGGGTCAAGATTGCTTCAGAATTGGGTCATATCTGGCATGAGAATTCAGAATTTAAAAGGCACCAGATGACAGGATCAAGATGATACTAGAATTCAGAGTCAAGCTGTACATCCAATGATCCTGACCCCTATTATAGACCCATCCATTATTCAATTTGACTTATTATTAGAATGTATTTTAGAAAACAAAATAACCACTACAAAATGTAACTGACACAGTCTGTTTTATACATCGTAAAAAATAAATAAAGACAAAAACTAAGTGAGAACTGTTCCTATAAAAACCAAATGAGAACCATTCTTTTCTAAAATAAAAATAGATATAGTAATCAATGAGAATCCTTCAATTCTTAAAATGAAAATATGAACAAATCACTCAAAACCATTCCATTCTAAAGATAGAAATATGAATAATCACTGAGAACCATTCCATTCTAAAAATAGATACATGATTATTTTCAAACAAAAATCAAAGAAAAATTATCACACAGGTTTTTGTATTTTATACACACTATGTTAAAACTTTCTAAGGGTTTTTAACAATACCATTATTATTAAGACAATATCCTTGACCTAGACTAACAGTGATTGGTGTTTGCCCCTTTCCTTTAGCCAATCAGAAAGCTTGTTTCTTTTTGAAGTGTTTTAGCCAATCAGAAAGCCCAATTTTATTTCTTTTTGAATTTTTAGCCAATCAGAAAATTCTGTAAAAACTGTATACCTTTGTTATGAACACGTCTTTTTGGTACACCTGTATTGCAAACATTAGATAATTTTCAGATAGCAAGTATTACCTCCCCTTGCTGCCATTTTGGGTTTCATTCCCAAATATATGTTATGTATAAAGTAAAACAAAAATCTCCCACAATTCCATCATCTTCATGTAGCATGATAAAAATATTTTACATATAAGTGCTTTTATAATATTTTCCTTTATATTATATGCAACAGATTTTGTCAATAACATTATATAGAATACTGGCCCCCAAACAAATGGCTGCCACTTTTGGCAAGGGAGGTAAATATTGCAAAAACTGTGAGCACAAAGAAAATAAGACATAAATTTGAGTAGTTTACAAAGTGATTTGTCAAAGAGCAATTGTGAAGAATTCTAATTGATATAGGAAAGTCAAACACTAAATTGGTTAGAATTCATCAGGATGTCTCTACTTTGTTACACTTTGTTCAAGACATATGTGTTACACTATGTTCAAAACATTATGTGTTACACTATATTTGATAATTTTTGCACACTTAATATTGAAGAAACTTTATGATAAATTCCAACCAATATGTATATATCTAAAACAACTTCTAATAAAATATAATGTTAGAAGTGGGCTGAAAGTCTTATAAAAATATTGCAATCATGAATTGTACAGAAGAGCTTTGTTGCATTCAGTATAGAAATCATATTCAGCTTTTAGTAGTTGTTGTTGTTTTTTTTTGGTAAGATTTTAAGCTTGAAGAGTGATTATAATATAAAGCTTAGTTTTTGTAAATTGGCCTAATCAAGCAATATGTGATTATGTTAAGTCAGAAGAGAATATATCTGCTCTTTTAGTACTACAAATTGTATGGAAGAACCTTATGGCAAAATTTAAGCCTTTTATGCCAAAATTTAAGCCTTTTATGGCAAAATTTAAGCCTTTCATGACAAAATTTAATCCTTTTATGGCAAAATTTAAGCCTTTCATGACAAAATTTAAGCCTTTTATGGCAAAATTTAAGTATTTCATGGCAAAATTTAAGCCTTTTAAGGCAAAAGTTAAGCCTTTAACATACATGTCTTTGTGCCTGTTGCTATATAAGGCCAGTATGCAGAAGAAAATTTGTTATTTTGTACAAAACAAAGGGTTATAATGGCCTACAACACACATTTCTAATAAGATTGAATTTTAGAGATTCTAAGGAAATGATAAAAGTATATAAGTTCAGTGATGAAACCAAAAAAAGATTACCCCTAATACACTTTAAATTCAAAAGTGTGTGTGATATTACAAATTAAAAATCTTTTAAATCTAGACCTAACGTCTCGTTTTTACTTTCCTACGGAAATCATATATCAAACAAAAAACCGAAATAATTCAAACATACAATTATCCAATGCACCATATCATGTGAACGGGTGTTAACAAGGTGTGCCTATCAATAAAAAGTTAAAATTCATTCAAATCTAACTTAATATAATACTAATATCTCATAAACAAATCAAATGCCAAGGCTCATTTCTAACTCAGAATTCAGGCAAAAAAAAAAAAATCAAAAAAAAAAATCAAACAGCCTTCATAATGCATTTACATGCGTGTCATAGTTAAAATGATGAATCAAAAGCATTTATAAATCGCGCATTACTTCACTGCAAACTTAAGAAGTGATGGTTACATAGTTATTATTATTTTGTTCGAGCAAAATTTGTTAAATGTACATCAGTGAATACACCAACCATAGATAGAGACAGGTCACATTGTTTCAATACTCACCTCAGAGGAATATGCCTATAAAACATGTATATCAGTGAGATATCATATTTATTTCACTAACTATATAAAAAAATAAATCACTGCAAGGTGGACAGTACCTGAGATGTGATATATAAATTATATCATTCACTGAATAAAATTCAGTGCGAGTTTCATCGATGTGAAATATGAATTCATTTACTATAAATAAAATTCACTCTGAGATAACTGGAGTGAAATATATGACTTATATCACTCACTGAATAATTATGATTCACAATGAGGTTAACATCATAATAACAAACATTAACCAAGGCCTACTTTCTATATTAATCTATATCTGCATGCACTTATTGCTTATAATTTACTGTGACTGTTATATAAAAATAACTTATTAAGTAAAATATTTATAAATTGAAAGATTTATAAAAGTAGAAACAATAAATGCTTGACACAATTCTAATGATATTGAAAATTCTGCAAAATGATTTTCTAGTAGTTTCCCCTTCTGAATATTAAAGAATGCCAAGAGTAGTTCCCCTTACAAAAAAAAATTCTAAGAGTTATTTTGACTTACAAATATATAAGTACTCTAAGAGTAGTTCCCCTTACAAAATAATATTCCAGGTGTAGCTTCCCTTTTAAAAAAAGTATTCTAAGAGTAGTTACCCCTGACAAACTGGAATACTTAAAGTAGTTCCCCTTACAAAGTAGAATTCTAAGAGTTCCCCTTATAAAATAATATTCTAAGAGTAATTAGTACAAAAAATAATTGCAGGAGTAGCTTCCCTTTCAAAAAATCATTCTAAGAGTAGTTCCCCTTACAAAAAGAATTCTATGAGTTATTTCACTCACAAATATAGAAATATTCTAGGAGTAGTTTCCCCTTACAAAAAATATTCAAACAATGATTTCCCCTTACCGAATACTCTTCTTTCTCCACTTCTGGAATGGATGGTGACAAAAGTGCTGACTTTGATGGGAAAATAATAGACTTGGATTTCTTTTTTGGATGTTTACTTTTCTCCTTTTTCTTCCTTCTTTTTTTCTTCTGTTTCTCTTTTTGAACTTCGTCGTTCATGTACGTAGCAAAGTTTTTTACAGAGTGACTGTGTAATGATTTTAGCGGGACATGAATATGCGGGAAAGAAGATCGTCGATGACCTAGAAAAAAATTATATGTGGACATATATTAGTTTATTCTATTTGGTTTCTACACATGCTAACACTATCAAGGTCATATAACTTTTTTTTCAGCTTAACTGGCTAAGAAAAACAGTAATTTTGATTTTGCTTGTTATGTGAAATGGCTAGAACCAACAGACTTTCTGTGATCTAGCTTATTTTACTTGCACACATAAGGAAAGTCTTTAACGCACCTTGAGGAATAGGCAGAAAACTATTAAGGTCAAAATTAAGTGAGGAGGTTTTTTTTTGAAGGTGCATGCTTACATCAAGTGTTAATATAATTGGACATCATTTCAAGTGTTAATATAATGGGACATCATTTTAAAGCCTTTGCAAAACATAGAGAATCTTTTTACTTTTTTTATCTCATCTAAATAATAGTAACAAACACCAATAAAATGTGTTACAAGATGAATTCTGACAATCTCTTGTTAGTATATTCAAGCAACCAACGACCTTTAGACAAGTAAATATGGTATGTGAGCCACAAAACATCTGTTTAACAGTTGTATAGGTCCAAAAATAAATTTTAGACGTCATTAAATATAGTTGTGTTGAAATTACAGAAGCAAAATCTTCGTATTTGAAACAATTTCAACAACTCTTGTTTCATGACCTTCTGTTGAATTGTACAACATTTGAAATTTTCAGGTATGTTGTAGTTAAAAATAAATTAAAGCTGCACGCCTCCAGATGAGCAAAAATATATCAAAATAATCAATATTGAGAAAAATGTACTAAAATTTTAAGAAAGGTAAACACATTCAAGATCCAAATTATATTTCCATGTTATGTGCAGTTTAAGACTGCTTTTGCAGTATTTTATCACCATATTTCTACTGCGTTATTACTAATGCAGTAAAGGCTGTTTTTGCATATGTTGACCACTTTTTGGTAATTTTCTTAGATTGTAAGTGCCGATTGCAATATGTAAATTGCTTTATTTGTTCACCTCACAATATTTTACTTTTAAATATATTTCCAAAATTTTCATGAAAATTAACATGAATCTGGAGGCGTGCTGCTTTAATTTTGCATGACATTTATTCAACAGGAAATAAAGTTGTCAATATTGTGTATAACATAGAAAAAACAACATTAGACATTTTGTCTGAACAAAGGTATTTCTCGGAATGAAACCGTTACGTGACTTCGGTACAATTTCATGACAAATATTTTTGTTCTAAGTTTACATCAAACTACATAAAAACTTAACAAGTTACGTCATTATCTCCCTATTTTTTTTTCTTAAAGCAGCTCATCTTCAGATTTATGCTACATCGTTCAATAACTCCAACCACCCCTTAGAATATTATAAATGGACTTGTCCATCTTTCAATCTGGACAAAACCATTCATTGTTTTTAGGGAGAAGTTCAAAATAAATACTGACTGAATAATTTAGGTGTAGAGTGCAGACCATGACCCAGATATCACACATGTGCCAACAGAACTGGTCTGCATTTTTATCTTTTTAAACCAGTATATATTTTGAAGTTTTCCCCTAAAAGTGAAAGAATTGGTTTTGTCCAGATTAAAAGAAGTACAAGTTTCATTTAGGGTTACAAATTTTAGGAGGGAGAAGGGGTAGTCAAGTTATATTTTTACATAAATGTAACATGATCAAATGCTGTTTTTACACATCTTGAATTTTCTAAATTTGAAATTTCCACCATTTTTCATGTTTCATATATTGAAAAACTGCTTTAACTCTGTGCCTGGGACATGGACGGTAGCTTGTATTTACATCTAACGCAAATTCAATTTGGCTCAATCAAATCAAGCCGAACACTTCAAATTTTTTCCCATTCTAGGTAGTTCTAATGGTCTTCCATTGTTTTTTATGTTCGTGAACATCAAATATAACTCTTAAGCTATTATACATTTAACCTAATTAAAAGATTTTTTCTTCAAAAATTTTTTTACTCCCTCATTTTGGATGCCATGCAATGATTTTTTTTCCAAAACTGCACAATGAGGGGGAAAAGCAAAAATTTGCAAAAAACACAATACAATTTTGGCTGAAGCTTTTAATAAAACATATACATATAAATGTGGGCAAAGCTAAACAAAATAATTTTTTTTTTGCATCTGAATCTATTCTTTCAACATGCAACATTAGCTCTCTTACCATTTTTCCCTTTGTTTTGCATGAAAAAAGATAAATAAGTATATTCCAGCTCTCTATTCCCACCCCCGTTTTATTTCACAGTTTTCCTACAACCAGAAACCAGTTAGGCTTGTGTGCTTTGAATCATAATAAACAAGTAAAAAAATATATCAAAAGATCATCAGAAAATGCTGGTTGCCTTGACAACTTTGTTACTATTTTTAGACTTACTTGATATATCATACTCCTCCAGTACCCGGTCACTAGCCGAGTGCACTGTAAGCTCGGGTACCAGTCCACGTTCTGACGGCAAACATTCAGCATTACTACTTGATATCAAGTCACTAATTGTCAGCCTGCAAAATAATGTATGATGATAGTGTTTTCATTATTTCACTTACTCCAGAGCTTTTATAATTTCACTTACTTAATTTCACTTACTCAAGAGCTTTTATAATTTCACTTACTCAAGAGCTTTTATAATTTCACTTACTCCAGAGCTTTTATAATTCTACTTACTCCAGAGCTTTTATAATTCTACTTACTCCAGAGCTTTTATAATTTCACTTACTCCAGAGCTTTTATAATTCTACTTACTCCAGAGCTGTTATAATTCTACTTACTCCAGAGCTTTTATAATTCTACTTACTCCAGAGCTTTTATAATTCTACTTACTCCAGAGCTTTTATAATTCTACTTACTCCAGAGGTTTTATAATTCTACTTACTCCAGAGCTTTTATAATTCTACTTACTCCAGAACTTTTATAATTTTACTTACTATGGTGCTTTGATTAATTTACTTACTCTGGTGTTTTCATTATTTCACTAACTCCAGTGTATTATATAGAGGATATTTGTTTAGTTCAGTGTAAGATCATAATATATTTCACCGAGTGAGCACCAAAAGGTATATTTCACCTTGTGAACACCAAAAGATCAAAAATTTTATCGGGCTGCCCACTTGAAAAAACCTTTTCTCACTTTTTAAAAAATTCGATCTTACACAAACAAACAAATTTCTTTTTATTTAAAGCAAAGAAAAAGTTTTAAAAAACATTAACCCATACTGAAAGAAAAGGCGAAATAAAATACAACGTACGAATTTACGACTCCGTCATTAAGTTTTTACCAATATGGCACCCTTTAAAGCACTGAAAAACGTAAGGGGCTTAAATTCAAAAACAGTGAAATTATCAAAGTGGTAATATCACTGTTTCGAACAGTGAAATTACCAGTTTTAAATCACTGATATATTTCTATAAACCACCGAAAAGCATGTAATAAAATTTTTACTTACTCTGGTGTTTTTATCATTTTACTTACTCTCGTGTTTTTATCATTTTACATGCTCAGGTGTTTAATAATTTATTTACTCTGGTGATTCAATTATTTCACTTACTCTGGTGTTATAATAATTTTACTTACTCTGGCGTTTTTATCGTTCTACTTACTTCGGAAAACTTTGGTGTTTTATCATTTTACTTACTCCGGTGTTTTGATTATTTTACTTACTCCGGTGTTTTATCAAACAGTTTCTCAATATCATCGTGTAGACTGTTCGAGTAATCAATGGCTTCCTCTTTCTCCATGTCCAGGATGAACGACAGTCCTGATGCCGTTGGTTGTGACGCCACGGCGATACTCGCACTACGCACCGAACGCGAGCCCGTTGAGGAGATGGAACTCTCGGAGTCTCGACTCCGTTGTCTGCTAAGCCCTTCATCAGGATACTGTTAAAACATAAATAAAATATCTTAGTAAAAACCAACATTTGTATTCATCAAGAACTATAATTATAATATTATATACATGTCATATATATCCAAAAAAATAACCATTTTTCTGATCAAACAAAAATAAAATTATAAATCAAAATTATAAAGGAATATAATTCTGACAAAATACACATACATGTATATTATTTACAAAGAAAATTGAACCAAATAACACTTAGAGATTATTCAGACACAATAAAAACAAGAGTTATGGCCCTTAATTACCTATAAAGACAACAACAACTTTAAACTAATGTGGCTAAAATTCTGGTCTTAATATTTTGTTTCAAATCTTTGATGGAGAAATAATGAAAATTTAACGAAAAACTTCAACATTAAAAATCACTGAAAATAACTGTCACCTCTGTTTTTATTTACATCAGTTAGACTAAATTAATGTCTCATTTATACCCAGCTTGGATATCTTTGGGCAAAACTAATGTTTTCTAAAGTTAAAATGTTTTTTTTTATGATTTGGCCCAATTATTTTAATGACCTTTATTTCCACCTGACTTCTATTGTATCAAAGAGGTCAGTATTAGGACAATTTTTTTCAACAAACTTGCACAAAAATTGTGACTTTTATAGAATAAAGGTTTTCCTTTTTTGACCTGACCAAGGGATTTAATTATGAGCCTTGAAAACCCATCTCTGACCTTCACATTTGTTGCATCAAAGTAAGAAAGATTCCAACCAAGTATCTATATATAAAAAGGTCAAATATGTGACATGTCAAGTTTATAAGTCTTTCCTATGATCTGTTCTTGTGACCTTGTACTGACCCTTTACTGCCTGTCTTTGACCTTGACCTATATTAAATTAAAGCTTCCTTCGGTAGGGGGGTTGGGAAAGCCTGGGCTCTGGAAAATTGACATTTCAAACAGTAATTGTATACTACTAGAATAAGAAAATTAAATGCTATCAAAGCCGAGAAGATTTTCACTCATAAATTTTGCATAGGGGGAGGTTAATACAAGCATTTGGCAAACAACTTTTGAAAGTAATTTACTCCTCTGAAGTCTAAGGGGGCCTGGCAAATCTTACAAGAAACTGTCAAAATAAAACCTTCCCTGCTTAACTTCATTATCAAAATTGATGTAACGAAAATTACTTTTGTAACAAAGATGCAAATTATTGTGCACTCAAAGCCATTGTAAAATATTTCTTGAAAAATTAACTTGGAAAATAACTTGTGGTATTTTGTTTTTGTTTTTTGCTTTTTTCCAGCATTCTCCTGCAGATTTATTGATGGGAAATTATTAATTCTTGCCAACGTCTGATAGGTCCAGATGCTTTAATAGTTATACTTTTCTACTTAGGAAGAGCGCATCTTGATCAATTGATGAAGCACAAAATATTTTGAAAACTTTCACTATCTATATGTTATCAAAGAATTTGCTTCCAGAAAATTTGCATGGAATCCTATATTATTATTGACGCGTAATCAATAAGATTTCTGTCTGTGGTTAACTTTTAGCCTGCCGGCAGTTAGGTTTAATGTCGCACCAACACAGTATACTAGGTCATATGGCCACTTTCCAGCTAAAATTACTGGTGGAGGAAGACCTTAGGTGCCCTTCTGTACATTATTTCAGGCACAAACGGGCACATGCTCACAAACGGGCACGTACGTAGAACAACCAATGTTCTGTAAGTTGGAAGTGATTGAACCTACCCATGCAACCAGTGCAGACCAAGATCAGCCAGCACATCTCTGTGCCAATCATCTGATCATGGACTGCACTGTTTTTTGCTATTCAGTCAGTAAATGTTTTGAAATATTCCCATAATATGCTTATAATTTATGCAAAATAAATTAATGAAAGTATAATTATGATTTTCATCATATTTAGAGCTTTTAAGCATCAGAAAAATGTGCAACTAATCTAGAATTCAAGTCACAAAATATGAAAAATATAATCTAAAAATCTAAAATTTAAAGCAACTAAATTAAATTTTTCTGAAGTTTTCCTCTAGATAAATGTATACATCTGTCTAATTTTAATTTCAAATTGCAAGAAACTGTATTTTCATGCATATAAATGAGTTCTAATTAACTACATCAGTCTTATGTCAGTCATAAATATTTTGCAGAAAGAATAAATAGAAACAAGGCAGCTTGAAAGACAGTTACTTTCCCTACCGCAGAAAAAATAAGGATATTTTAACCTTTGACCAACCTTGACCTTAGTAAAACCTAACTCAGTCTGTTGAGCTATGTCCATCACATTATAAGTACATTACATCATGGTGGGTTATAATTTGACTAAATATATTAAAACCTTCCCCAAAGGTCAATAACAGTAACCAGAGCATTTGACCTTTACATGTGACCTTGACCTTGGTAGCAGCAACCTGGATGTTATGCTCTACATCTTTCGTCATGGTGATGACCATTTTGTGCCAATTTATTTTTAAAAAAATTCCCAATAGGCAATAACAAAGTTATAGAGCAGATATGAAATATGGAACTTTTTTAACATTTGACCTTTATGTGTGACCTTGCCCTATGATCTCAAGATTATATCCAAACACAATACTGATTTTCTTTCTGTTGGGTTGAATTTGTACATGATGATACATGCAATTTATATAATACAGCACAATACTAATGTCCAGGTATTTTATTGTAATCACTATTCATTAAACAGAGCACATTGAAACAAATGAACCAGAGTACATGGTATAACACTTGAAGACAAAATTATTCTCAAAAAGTAGAGTATATATAAATAGCTGTGACATAATGATAATTATTCTCAAATCATCAAGTATATTTATGTAACAGGAATAATTGAGATCACAGATTACTGTGACAGAAATTATTATTCTCAAAGATTGGGTACATTGCTAATGGCTGTGACATATTTATAATTATTATTCTCACATTATACTAATTGAGTATGTATTTATGTGACAGGCATGATTCATGCCAGTACAGATTACTGCAAAAGAAATGGTTATTCTCAAAAATAGAGTACAAATAAGTGAGATATTAAAATTATTCTCAAATTAGTATTAGTATTAGTGTATTATATAATTTACAGTAATAATTGAGAGAACAGACTAAAATGGTGCCTTGAATGATAATCCTCAAAAAAACAAGTACAAAATTTGATAGCTGGGACATCAATATAAGTATAAATATTCTTAAATTAATGATTTAATTTTCATGTGACAAGAATAATCGAGAGTACAGATTAACTGTGACAGAAATCATTTTTCTCAAAAATAGAGTGCATGAAAAGTGACATATTTTTAATAATGTTCTCTGGGTATCTATAAATGTGAAAGGAATAATCTTCTTATACTTTTGAGTACAAATGGCAGTGACAAGATTAATTATTCTGATTATTTAATCTCATTATGGAACACAGTGTCTGCAGTGTAAAAATTGTGATGTGGGGGGAGAGGGGGAGGTAATTTTTTCTTAAAAATTCTGCAAAAAAAAAACAATAACAAAAAACAGTCAGGATGGGAATTATTATCTGTAATAAATATGATAACAAAGCTGTGAAATGAAATATTCCTCCTTAACACAAAAGTGGCTGTGGGACACAAAACATTACATTACAACAATATAACAAGACAAACTGTAATGATACAATACTTTGTGACAACGTCAAACAAGATGATAAGGGTGACATTTTGGGGGGTGACATTTTGGGGGTGACATTTTGGGGGGGTGACATTTTGGGGGGTGACATTTTGGGGGGTGACATTTTGGGGGTGACGTTTGGAGAGGTGTGACATGGGAGGGTTATACACTGTACATGACTTTTATCATTTAGTCCACTTCAACCAACAATGTGACATAATTTTGAAACCAAATTGCACGAGAAACAGAATACTTGCTTTATCACATCAACACGAACAAAACTTCAAAAATATTACAATTATAACCATCGCAACAAGACATTAGTCTAATTGGCAAGACAAAGTAAGGTCAGAACAATACGAGACTAGAGTTACACAAGGATCATGGAGACATATTACTATAGTAACAATGACATAATGAGAGCATTCAGGTTGAGAAGCAGACGACATTTTAAACCTTGCTCTAGGCTCCATGCTCTGGAATGCTAAAAGCAAGACTCCATTTTGTTTATACTGATTTTAATTTAATAGTTTGATTGTGTAGGAACCTATATGCTTATTATAAGGCACACTCTCAAATCTGTTCCTGTATGAAAACTATCCAGTACTACATGTATGCAATGAGTGAACAGTTTCTTGCTCTAGGTAACAACAGTTTGCTCCTGAGGGTGTTTGAACTCACGCTGCTAGAAATCCTTACATTACCAGTCTGACATGTTAACCACACCGTCACTGACTCATTTAGAACTATTGGTTTCATTTAATTTTGTATGTTGATATTGAAATGATCATAAAATAAACATTGAATATCATGAATTCTGAATAGGACATGACAAATTGCAGTAGGCCAAGAAAATCTTTCTAAATAATCAGGGGAGACGTTCAACAAGAAGGCCATACTGGCCCTAAATCACTCAACAGTTAACATATCGTAACATAATTATGTACCATTGGGAAAAAATCATGCCTCCGTGTGGCGTATTAACGCTTTCTTAGCAATTTTGGTAGAGGATATTACAACATATGAATATTTTTTCAAAGACAAAACAAAGACAACATAAACAATTAAATAATACAAACAACTATCAAATTCAAGCACAAAAACATCCATAATATGCCAATATTCAACAAAGAGGCTAAATCAATAGTCATGCAGGAACTCATGCTAAAAAAAAGGAACTATTTTTCTCAGACACTGGAACAGGGCTCGACATTAACGGTTGTCCGACTGCCCGGGACAACTAAAAGTTTGGTCCGGGCAAGTAATTTTGGAAAGCACTTGTCCGACAGGGCAAGTGAAAATAAAATGCGTCATTGACAAATTGCATGTACAAAATAAATAGAAAAACACATCTTTTCATTTATAAACATCTGTCAAACAAAAATACACCATGAATCATTATTAATAGTGTGAATACGCTACGGTCATGTACATTTGTTGATACAGGAAACGGAAGCAAAAATATTACCATGCGCCGCGGTAAGGTAATTCCCCGTTCTAATAATAGACTATAATTAATTTTGTACAAGGTAATTCCCGGGTCATGCTGTCGTTTTAATTTTGATGCGTGCATGTAAAGATATCATTGAAAATATGTAAATAATCGTATTGATCTTTAAATATAATTGTTTAATAAAGTGTTTGCATTAAAAATTATTTATTGTCATGTACATTTGTTGATAAAGGAAACAGAAGCAAAAATATGAGCATGCAACGCGGTAAGGTAATTCCCCGTTCTAAAAATAAACTCTATTTAATGTTTGTACAAGGTAATTCCCGGGTTTAATATTGATGCGTGCATGTAAAGATATCATTGAAAATATGTAAAAATTCGTATTGATCTTTAAATATAATTGATAAATAAAGTTTTTGCATTAAAAATGATTTATTGTTTTATTTAATATAACGACATAAACGTAGTCAACGAAGACTAATTTACGGCTGTTGACATCAATTCGTCGTCTGCAAAATAAAAAAAATCTAAATGTCCTTGTTCAAATTTGGTTTTTCTTCGTCTAAAGACGACAATGATGGGTCAGGGAAGGAAAAAAATTATAAGGGTCGTGAAGAGACAAAAAAAACTTATGAACAGAAACGTAAACGGGAATTTGTTCCAAAATGGCTAGAAGAATACGAGTGGTTAAAATTCGACGAAGCGTCGTCTTCTATGCTTTGCATGCCCTGTAAAAAATTTGCTGATGATAGAACATCTAATTTTGTGATTGGTTGTAAAACATTTCGGGTGGAGTCTATCAAAAAATGGAAAAAAATTCTCTTCATACTTTCTGCGTTAAAAAAACACCCTTGCTGTCATTAAGGAAAAGAAACAGGTTGTTTCTTGTTAATATACATGTGATATACAAAGTTATTACACGTCTGTTACAACTGAAGTTTCTGGCGGTCTAAATGTTGTTGGGGCTTTAGATTTAAGCATAAAAAAGCTCAACAAAGATCAATTAAAGAAATTAACTGTGTGCTTTAACTCTGCATATTGGGTAGCCAAAAATGAAATGCCTTTCACGATGTACCCTTCTGTCCTTGAGTTGCAGCAAATAAATGGGGTTGATTTAGCAAAAAGCTACAAATCAGACAAGGCATGTTCAAGGTATATAAACATAAATAATTTACATTTCAATTATCAGCTTTTTAATTTAGATAGATCTAGATCTAGTACAAATTTATCATTACAGTAACACATTCAAATCCCAAACTTTATAATATTTGAATATCTATTTTGTATGTTAGTAGATTCTATAAAGACACTTTTATTAGTTACAAATAAATTATTGGACTGATATGATATGACCCAATTTAATTAATGAAGTGTCTCTGATATACATTTGAAAATATATTTTGGGTTAAAGTTTTCTATCTACTTTAATTTCAGGTTTATATCATTTATCTTTAATGATATCCAGGAAGTGTCTGATAACTTGTTGAAGAAAGCTAGGGTTTTGTCAATTATGTTTGATGGGGCGACTGATGTTTCAGTATGTGAAAATGAGCTTGTATATGCCAGAGTGGTAAGTTAGTTAAAATATTCATAACTGACTTAATTAAGTTTTATTAAAAGCTATTATGAAAATGTTTAAATTAAAATAAACATAAAAATATGCAGTTATAATTAACAATTCCAAAATTTGTAAAAGAATGTAATAAATTAGAACTGAAACGTTTGGTATAATTTAATGTTTGAGGTCTGAAAAGTTGTAAATGTCTTATATTTTACAGGTAGATGAAGGTACTCCAAAGTGTGTGTATGTGAAAATGGTGGCAGTTAAGCATGCTCACTCTGAAGGTGTGCTCTGTGCTATTGAAGAGGCCATGGCCAATGTTAATGGATGGAAGGATAAGTTAATAGCAACTGGATCTGATGGTGCTAGTGTTAACATTGGTAAAAACAAAAGTGTAACTGCTTTATTGAAAAGGGATGTCCCCCATCTTATAAAGATGCACTGTGTTAATCACAGGTTAGAATTGGGTGCTCTAGATGCAATCAAGGATAGAGATGCTGAAATGTTCTCGGATATCAAATCTCTATTACTAAGATTGCATAAGCACTACCATTACTCTGCAAAAGCTCTGCGTGAACTTAAGAGTTTAGCAGAAGCTATGGAGGTGAAAATGCTGAAGCCAGCCAACCTAGAAGGCACACGATGGATGCCTCACCTCAGTAGGTCTTTGGCTGTGCTTCTCAAACCTGCTTCTTACTGTGTATTTGTAACACATTTTGAAGATATTGTGCAAGGTGGAAAAGGCACAGCTGATGTACAAGGAAGAGCAAAGAGCATCCTGAAGCACCTAAAGAGTGAAAAACTATTACACTATATGTTTTTCTTACAGGATGTACTTGAAATTCTAAGTGATCTTTCACTTCAGTTTCAAAGAGACACCTGCTCTATTCCTGATGCTCTTGATGCCTTAGAAACAGCTTGCCTGCGCCTTGTTGCCCTTCAACATAGACCAGGTAAGCATCTTCAAGTATTTGTTGATGCTCTTGATGACCAACATGTCTTCCAGGGCATACAACTCTCTCCTTGCACTATGTCTGCAGAGGGACTATCTAGCAAGAAGTCTCTCTTAATTGATGCTGTCATCAATCACATTTCAGGGAGACTCCAAGATCTAGACACCTCACCTGTATTAAAGTCAATGCAGATTTTTTTCATGGTCAACCTTCCAGAATCAGCCACTGATCTAGCATTGTATGGGGAGCAGGAAATAGGCACTTTGATTCAGTATTTTAATCCTTTGCTTTGCAGACTTGGCTGCCAAACAGATGCCATCAAGGATACAGAATGGCCTGCTTTAAAAGCCCATATGAGTAGAAATAGACAAAAGTCCACTGAGGTACTACACAAAATAATTTTCACTGATGATAACCTGAAAGAGAGGTTCAAGAACATTCTTGTTCTTGTTGAGATCATTTTGTGTGTACCAACCTCAAGTGCCATCTGTGAGCGTGGGGTCTCAGCCATGGCAAGAATCAAAAGTGACTGGAGGGCATCCCTTAACCCAGATATGTTGAACTATCTGATGGCCATTTCTGTCTCAGGTCCACAAGTTAGTGATTATAATTGTACTAGGGCTCTCAACATGTGGTATCATGGAGGACAGAGGCAGCGCAGGCCACAGTTTGATGAGAATGATGATGTAGATGAATTGTCTAATTAACTTTATGTCCATTTTTATAACACAAGTTGAAGATCATGATCAAAGGATGCCAAGTGTTGTTTCTAGTCATGTAAACATTAGGGTTATATATTAGCCTGGATGATGATTAACTAACAATCAATTTCATAAACAATATCATATGTCCAGTTTATTGCCTTATGTAAATATGTTAACCTTACCTAATACAAGAAGTATTAATGTATGAGCTTGTTTGTCTTTTCTGATTAAACATTTTTACCATTTTAGGTCAGGACAAGTAAGTCTTAGGTCAGGGCAAGTAGTTTTGAAAACTACTTGCCCGACAGGACAACCTGATTCAAAAGTTAATGTCTAGGCCTGTGGAAACTAATTTTTTTTACAGGCACGAAACAATTTTTTTCACATATAATTATGGAACTATTTTCTTCTATGAGCAAGAGCAAGGATACTGTTTCAGATAAAATATGTATAACCATTGTGAGTTAAGTCAAATACCTTTATTTTCATCTCTAACAGATCCAGGCTTCAAAACCAAACCTTTATTTCTTTTTTTGTCTTAAATGTTCATAAAATGGCCAAGCATTGCAGTAAAATACAGTTATCTTTAAACAAAATCTTTTGACTTTTTTCACAAATTGTTCCTAAACCTAAAAGCATTAGCAGCAATGCCTTTAAACTACTTAAAATCACTGAAGCAGACAACTTATTTTGTCAATTGCCCCCCAAATTAACATTCATCTGAAATTATTATATTCCTGGACCTGTTAGTTTATTAAACTGTAACTATAAATAGTAACAAACATGTTACTAACAATAGTAACAATTTTCTATTTTTGGGTAACTTACATCATCAAGGTCAAAAGTAGCGGTTGGACCAAAGTTATTGTCGACATCTTGTTCCTTGTTGCAGAGCAAGATAAAATTCACATTAAAAACAAATTGGTTAAAGACCTTTAATTCTCAAAAAAGGTCAAAAGCCACTATTTCTTACATTAACCATAAATCAGAACAGGTTAAACACCACTAAAAATACATCCTATACCAAAAATTTGTGAGCATAATAAAGACAAACATCTATATGAAAATTTGTGTGAGTGAAAAATATTAGAATAAATGAAAAATTAAAAACTAAAAATTTTATAAAGCATAATTATGTTATAATTGTTTATGTTTACAAAATATATGAAGACAAACTGTTTACACACACATTACAATTTAGAAAGTAATATTTTAGTAGAATTTCTGATTTATTACAAGAAAAATAATAACACAGACAAGTAATTTTTGAATACTGAAAACTTGACTACTACTTGAACAAATATTACATTTTAAACTGAAAATAAAAACTCAATTACTGCAAAACTATGTTTGCAATATTTGTCCATTTCAAAAAATTACCAAATTATCACAGAAACAAAATAATTCATTACATATTACAGTTACTCTATGGCAAATAACCTATAATTTCCAATACAAACTTCAGAAAATACTAATTTAAAATCACTCCAAAATTATTTTTGGAAATATCAATTTACTTATTAATAATTACAATTACTGAACATTACTTAATTACAATTACGGAAACAAAATGATTACTACTTACAATTACTCCAAAATCACTTTTTCTGTGATAGGACATTATCAGTTACCAGATTTCTATATTTTTCTCTTGCCTGAAATTATAAAACATAGTATCAATGAGATATCATTTATATCACTCACTGGTCATCGCACATCTGTAGAAAATATCAACAAGAGGTCCATGATGGCCCAGAAGTAGCTCACCTGAATATAGAAACTGAAAACAGAAAATCAATGACTTCCCCCGGGCTAGGCCAGTGTTTTGACCCCAGGGCTTTTATATGAACAAAATGACACTCACTAGAAGATGTTTTATGCTTAATATCTATACTCTAGCTATTTGGATTTTTTAAAAGAAGATTTTTAAGTTTTTTCGTTCCATTGCCATGGCAACCAGAGTTTTGCATGGAATTAAATTCTTTGAACAATTTTTAAAGGTGACCATGTAAGATGCTTCTAACCTGAAGAAATTAGAGAATTATACAAATGCGAAATAATTTGTCATAAAAGTAGCAACATGTAAACAAAGCAGTATTTTGACTTCCATACAAAATCATAAATCACTATTATTGTACTTATATTGCCAAACAGCAACAGAAAATAAGATAGTTCAGATAACTGACCATTGAATAACTTTTCGGAAACTTATAAAAGTACACCACTAATAAAAAGCTTTTGGGAAGTAAGAATCAAAGTATCTCTGAGGCATAATAGGCCTTTAACCAAAGTAAAACAAGTTAACAGAACAGCAATAACTTCTATTGTTTACAACAACAGTATCAATTCCTCTCAAAGTTAAAGAGATTTTACAATTTAAAGTTATCCTCTATTAAGGGAACTCACTGAGGTCCAAATGCATAAAAACATAAAATTTGAAAATCTTACATTATTTTCAAATAAAGCACTTAAAATGGACAAATCTACAATGGACAACAAAGAAATGTAGTCTTAAATTAATTAAAGTCAAATTTTTTTAATTTTTTTTGTGTGTGATTCTAAATAGCGAGATTTTAGTGAAAAGCATTCGGTTACTTTTTTGGGGATGACAAAATGACTGAAAATATACAAGTCATTGGTCCAGACCTACATCATTTGGTACACTAATCTCTGAAAAATACTTTCAGTCCTGTCAAGTCAAAAAACGTTGATGGTGTCCCTTTAAGAACAACACCTCTTAGCAACAACTAAAAGGTGGGGGGGGGGGGTTGCTCTGCAGAGGTTTTTCTGTATTTCCAGAATCCATTACTGTACATTAGGGACATCCAATATGTCAATCATGATTTATTCAATACAATGTAATCATTTGATAACATCATTTTCTTATTCAAATCTCTGCCACGATTATATTTTTGTCAGATATTCAACAACAATACTGTTTCTGCCAGGAATATTACTTGTCATTTTATCTTTTGTTTGTTTTCAATTTCAACAATATAGAGTCTCAGGTCAGACTGCATGGATGTGAAAGCTGGTGCCCACCTTCTATACTGGTGGCAATTAGGCTTAACATTTTTGGTTCCAGCACTCTGGTTACCCAGGTGAAATGTATCACGTTTTATCATGAAATAACATGGCTCACAGGTCATGGTTAGCCATGGTTGACCATGTTATGTTAAATGGCCGCAAACATGGTTTCTGACCATGGTCATTAAGGTTACTGACCATGGTTTAAAGGGTTTGAATTCAAAGTTGTTCACTTAAAAAAAAAGATAATTAAAATTGAAACAGTTTTCAGTTATGAATTTTTTTTTTTTTAATTGTAAATTTAATGGGTTTTGTTTTTGGTTTTTTTGGTGAGTTATTGTAAATTGTATCTGAACCTCAAAAAAACAAAACAAAAAAAATAAAACTTGATCTTACTCTCTGACAATTAAGATAAGTAAATTCTCTACAATATCTATTTCAATACCACCAATGTTCTTCATAATCATATAAAGATGCTATCACAAAAACCTTTTCATTATGCAATTCAAGAAAAACACAAAAAACCTACTTTTTTTTCTTATCAGTAAAAATATACTCAACATACCTTTCTTTAGCAGGCTTTCACAAAAATATCCTTATTATACACTGATTTTTTTTCATAAATTGTCTCTTGGTTTTGTTAAATTAAAAAAAAATAATCTTCAAATTTTGTTGCATTTTTTTTTTCAAGATATAAAATCCATCACAAATTTACTAAAATCTAAGTATTCCGAACAAGAGTACTCCTCATCATAAAAACACATAAAATCTTGCTAAACCATATTTCTTTTTCATTTCAAAATAGACGTTTTTTTCAACAATAACATGTTATCAAAAGCCAACAATTGGCTTATAAGTAAAATATTGTTTTCCAATAAATTTCTAGTGTAGCCTTCTACTACAATGCACATGCAGTACTTGCAAATTATGAACCAATGTGAACAACTGAAAATTTCAAAACCAACAAAATTATTATTTTTTTTTCCCAATTTTATAAAATATTATTATTTTTATTATCATTTTTTTTCATTTTTGCTAACCTCATTTCATTTTCTACAGAATTCTTCATTTACCATGCACATTTTTTCAATCATTCTTCCGAATTTACTTTTGCATTGGTTGTTCACTATATTTCAGAATAATTTTATATGGAAGTCAAAATACTACTTTGTTTACATTTTGCTACTTTCATGTCCATTGTATAACATACACAGACTTTTTCATTATATCCCTAACTTAATTATTGTTTTACGTAAAATAAGAATCCTTTTAATTGTCACTCATTTTGAATAATTATCATATAACTGGTTTAAATCAATAAAATTCACCAATTCCCCAAGTTTGTTTTCTTTAAGTGTTCAAGGAAAATTCCTGAAAATAATTATTTGTTAAATTGTTAAAGGCACATTATGCCTCAGAAATCTATTATCTTTTTAATTCTTCAAAATGTCTTTGAAATGTCAAACATGTGTTTACGCTGAATATGCAGTTATGTAACATAAAGGTGGCAAAATGTAAACAAAATAGTATTTTGACTTCCATAATACTAATTCACTATAATTACACAAATTGCCAACAGAGCTAAAGATGTAACAGATAGTTCATGTATGTAGCAAACTGTAAAAAGTTACCAAAACTAAACACTTTTTGAGAAATAAAAATAAAAGCATTTCTGGCATAATGGGCCTTTAAATAGAAATTTCCTGGAATATTCTTACTACCAATCGAGGGCTCGGCGCAAGACTATTCTAACTTGTATTTTGAAAAATTTTCAGGAAATGGAAAAAATATGTTATTTTATTGTGATTTCATTTTTTGAAAAAAAATTTACAACCAATCTTATCAAAAAATAGAAATAAGTTGTGTACATGTTCATTTTTTCAAGAAAAGTGTAAAATATGCATTTTATTGCCTACATGTTAACATAGCCTAGTATTGCACTAGAAAAGCTACTTTTTCCTGAATATTTATTGTGCAAAACTATTCTATCTTGAGTTAGAATACTTTAACACTATAAAATATGTCCCTTTGATTCCTAAATCTTGTGCAAAACTATTCTATCTTAAGATAGATTACTTTTGCAATAACTTAAAAGTTAAGAATGTCTTTTATCTATCAAGTTAGAATATATGTTTACTTTTTGAAAGTAAATTTGATTTCTTAAATAATATTTTTTGAAGGGATATTAGGGTTTGGGGCTGTTCTAATACCATATTATATAGTATAATTTGATATTGTTACATATTTGCATAATTATCGGTAATTAATATACCCTACTAAAATATATAGTAGGTACAAGTGATGCCAACCTTGACTTATTATCTCATACAAACACAAAAATAGGGTAATAATTTTCATTCTAGTCATGTCTTTTGTGTTTATACAAATTCTTAAAAATGAAATCTGCAGATTTTTAATATTAAATCTCATGTTGAGGCAAAAGCCCTTGTTGCAAAGTTTTTTTATATGCATGACTCTGACAGCGGGCACCCTGTAAAAATAACTGACTGCAATGACACAAATAATGAAATGATGAACACATGGTACTTTGTGCTAGAAAGCATCGCATGCATGCTTGTTGATGCACAATTAAAGGACTGCTTTAACCCTTCATTGGAGGAATTTTACTATCCTTTAAATTAAAGCAGCACGCCTCCAGATTCATGCTAATTTTCATGAAAAATTTGAAAATGTATTATAAAGTAAAATATTGTGAAGTGAAAAAAGAAAATAACTTTCACATTGCAAACAGCACTTACAACCCATAATAATTACCAAAAAGAGCTAAGGCTGAAAAATACTGCAAAATCGGTCATGAATCACACATAACATGGAAATTATTACTTTTATTTTGAATCTTTTTACTTAACTATTCTTAAAATCTGAATACTTTTGTTCTAAGTTTGGTTTTATTGAAATATTTTGGTTCATCTGGAGGCATTCAGCTTTAAGTCTCTTATTATTTTTAATTTAAATAGGTACTCACTGAGTCTCAGGTAAGAAATACATGATGTTATTGAGAATTATTTACCAACACATTAGACATTTTGCAAATCTAAAAGACATATCATAATATCATTAAATCAATTTATAGAAAAATTGTTCTGTGACTATAATTTTACAAATATAAAATGATCTTGCATACAAAAAAAACACAAATTTTCTATTTATTCCATGCTTTTTATCGGTTTTAATCTTTTTTTCCTGACTTTTGCCAAATAATGACATGCACTCTCATTAATGATGTCATAAAATCATGATGTCGCATAGTTCTTGTTGAAAAATAATCCATTAAACTTTTACGAAATAATGTTACATTTTTGAAATGATATGACTGTGTAAATAACTATATGATGATATGCAGAAAGAAATCAAAGTGCCTTAAAACCATTAAAAACATATTAAATGAATGCAAAATTTTGTTTTTGCATGTAAGATCAAATAATATTTCATTTAATTTATTTGTGAACACCAGCAGTGTTTATTTTCATTGTGGCTGTGTCAAAATATTGCATTGGATGTTCATTTTATGAAATATATTTCAATCTGTCTCTTCTAAAATACTAAACCCCCACTTTAAAATAAACTGAATATTTTATCTAAGGAAACATTTTATTCTTTTAACATT